GGAGGGAGGGACGAAGGGAGGAAGGGAGAGGCAGGAAGAGGGAGGGAGAGGGATGGAGAGGGAGGGAGAGGAAGGGAGGGATGGAGGAAGGGAGGGGAGGCTGAAAAAAGTTACTAATATGTTGGCAACTATTGATCTGAAACTTGGAAAACAAGACAGGGTGCACAAGACTTGGCAGGAATGCTTTCGTGTTGCTGCTTCTCCCTGCCAGATCGCTGAGCTGGCGCGCTTGGCTTCCAATGACATGCGAGAGCTGGAAGCATCTCGCCAGTGGCTCAGCTTCACAGAGCAAAACGGGGCGCTTCACCGTTACGCCTGAGGTAAGCAAACAAAGCGTTGCTGAAAAGAGCCGGAAGCGTTTGGAGCTCATGTTTCCGCGCATGTTTGACGCCGCCTTGCCAACTCAGCTAAGGCAGGCTGCAGCCACTGCGCCAGGCGCCAAATGAAACTTGGAAAACAAGACAGGGTGCACAAGACTTGGCAGGAATGCTTTCGTGTTGCCGCGTCTCCCTGCCAGATCACCGAGCTGGCGCGCTTGGCTTCCAATGAGATGCGAGTTCCTGACCTCCAGAGCTGGAAGCATCTCGCCAGTGGCTCAGCTTCACAGAGCAAAACGGGGTGCTTCACCGTTACGCCTGAGGTAAGCAAGCAAACCGGCGCTGAAAAGAGTCGGAAGCGTTTGGAGCTCAATGTTTCCGCGCATGTTTGACGCCGCCTTGCCAACTCAGCTGAGGCAGGCTGCAGCCACTGCGCCAGGAGCCAAATTCACGCTGCATGAGGTGATATGAGGCGCATGTACGTAAACTGTACCGACATGCCTGTGTTTCCATCCAATTGGGCTTCCTGCATGTCCCCAGCACTCTGGTATCACTCCAATTCCTGGCCCTTAGGGGATGAGCCCAATCTTGCCAGCTCCAGCGCTGCTCCGGTTCCTCGAATTGGAAAGTCACTGCCTTGCAGAAAGCTGCGAACGAGAATAAGATACAGAACGTTGCCAGCGTCACCGGCAGGACCGCTTGCAATCGAGCTTCGAGGCACGAACATACGACGATGCAGCAGCAACATCCCCAGCACCAATGCCTCACTTTTGAATCACAGGACAGCAGCGCATGCAAGAGCTAGGATGAACTACTTGCGCAACAAGCCATTCGCACCATGGCAGTGAGGGGAGGGAGCGGGAGGGAGAGGGAGGGCGAGGGAGGAGAGGAAGGGAGGGATGGAGGAAGGGAGGGAAAGAGAGGGGGGGAGGGAATTTCGTGCAACAAATTCAGGACGCCGTGGAGGAACTTCATCGGTGAGGTCGCAGAAGTCGCAGATGTCGCAGATCCCCGCGCGAGGTCGCTGTAATTCACCCAGATTCCTGTTCTTCTGGCCCAACAGCCATGTGTCCTAAGACAAGTGAGTTGACGAATTTGTTCCCCGGAATGGGGGCTTCTGCCGGTTGCGTCGGACCAAGCTCCGATGACGTGCCCGCTTTTCTGGCAATGTTGTCCGGGGTTACGCGCCGGCGTGGGATTCGGAGGATTTGGTCATGGCGGCATTCGCGCTTGGTGAGAAGAGGCCACCTCCGGGCGACAGCCGTGGCTCTTGGTTGCGGGCCGAATGGGAGAGCTCCTTGGCCCAACGATTGCAAGAAACAATCTAAGACTTGCTTGGCCTGATTGTAGAATAGTTGGGAAAATGAAGCCGCCAATGTACTAGACTGGGCGCTCCTTAAGGACATTCGAAATATGCGGTTCAAATTGTTGAATTGAGTAATTTAATATTTGAAGGGTTTATCGACGATACATTTTTCTTGCCATCTCAGGATGTGAACACAATTATTGGTAAACCTTAATACCATTCAGCCGCACATGCATCAAGATTCGGTCATGGCCAAAAAATTGCGCGCCAGATGAGCCGTGATGACACTCACGACACAGCGACAATGACAATGCCCGTCGAACAAAAACTGCACTCAATGAGAGGAATGCAAAGTAGCTGCCACGATGTTCCTGGCAGCCTTCACCTGCGGCGAATTCACTTAACCATTCACCATTGCCACTATGGACAATGACAATTTGTGGTTCGTGAAGCAGCTGAGCGCCACTGACAACTGACCTTCCATGGCTTGATTGCTTCTCTGTGGCAGCGCCCGGGCTTGACCCTGGGAAGCTTGATGTGCCCAGTCAGTCAACGTTGCAAGTCAGCCCGCCCCTTAACGAGGTCTACTTCTGGCACTTCAATCGCCATCGGTGGTATGCTAAGCCGAACGGGGCAACAACAACAACAGTGACAATGACAATGACATGACACCCAATCGTCAACTCTGTGGTGCCAGTTGTTTTCAGACATTCAGCTCCAGCAAACCAACTACCAACCATGCTTGATAAATGCCCTTGCCCACCCAGACATGCAGAGCAGCCGGACTAGCATTTTCCTTCCAATGCGAAACACAGCCAGCTGGTGCCTGGCAATTCGGCAGGCAGATTGCTTCTTGAACACTGCTTGCAAGCTGGTGGGCTAGCTTAGCTCAGGACGATAAGATCAAGCCGCCTGCGCGCAGCAATCCGTGACAGGGTGCGATGTTCCACCATGATGTCAAACAATCACAACGGCCAAGATTATACAACGAATGAGCGCAGCACATGCCTGGTTCCCCCCCCCCCCGCACGCGCCAACTCAAGGGCTGGCACCTGGCAAAACCCAGGTTTCTTCATCACTGTCTGGGAGGACAGTGTTGGCAACAACAAGCTTGTCAGGCTTTGGGCTGTTCCGAGCCAGGTCTTTACACATATTGGCATTGACACAGTTGGTGTCACTGGTGTCACCTGTCAGCTCGGCGGCAGCCTCAGCAGTTGAAGGCGGTCGCTTCGAAGCTGCTTGAGGTGCTGCTTCACCGGAGGCATTGGTGGCATTGGTGGCATTGGTGGGCGACAGCACAATGACTGGCTAAGCCAGCTGGGGAGCCACGGTGCAGTGCCCTCTAAGTTCAATGCCGCATCAATGTCAAGCCGGAAGTGAATCTGGACCAACCTCCAACAGCTTGATAGGGGCCGAAAGGACACCAACACATGGCCTTCGTGACACTGACAATCAAATGAAGGAACGGCGCCAGCACTGTGAACAGAACAATGCGTCAGTGCCGCTCTTTACTTCTATCACTCTGCAGCTGGCAAGTAAAGCCAGTTCTGGCCCTTATCAAAAGGCCATGACATTTTGAGTTATTCCTCGGGCTGATGACGTTGAACTACGAAACGCAAATAATAATTGACAGATTTCAGACTACAGCTTTCAGGGATTCATCACGAGGGCCTGCGCTGCCTGCTAGACAAGTTGGCAGCCAGCAAACGACTCTTGAAGATCATCGACAATCACCAGCGCCGGGGCAGTACAATGCCCAGCACGCATTTCCAAAATCACCTGATGACTATAACCGCCGAAAGCGGCAGGACAATGACAATGCCACCCAATGACAATGACAATGCCCTAAATGGCAGGCTTATACTCAGACTCAGACAGTGACCCACTCTCACTCCTCCGAGTTGAGCTCTTCCTCCGCCACCTGGGCAACACAAGGCTGTGTCAAGGTACAGATTGGGACACCATGCCTTTCAAGCACAGTCAGTTTATTAACCAAGCAGGCCTCCAGGTCAGACATGTTATCGCCGGCGCCCTCCTCGTCGTCGTGGCCGCCCTCCTCGTTATTGTCGTCCTCGGCACGCGGCTTCTTGCTGGTCGTCGTCTTGCCCTGGTTAGACTTGCGGCGTTTCTTGTTGCTTCCCTTGACGGCCTGCTTCTTGCTCTTCTTCGGATTTCCGCCATTGTCATCATCAAGCGTGAGAGCACTCTTGAGCAGCTTGGCAAGCGGGGCTTTGAAGTGCCGACTCTTGGCGTCCGTGAAGCTGTGGAAGATCAGCTTCTGGCACTCTGCGCGAAGCCAGGTGCAATGATCCGCTGTGTAGCCTGGTGGTGATATAGAAGGAACTGCTGTCACAGTCATTGGCCAACAACAACGACTACTTAGCAAAATTGGAAAACTGCTGAGACCCAGAAACTTGAAAAGCGTGGCCAGGTTGATTGCAGACAAGGCGCCGACAGCACAGACAGGGATGCCCTGAGCCAGGAGAGGCAAGATTGTTGTCGGGCAAGATGCAGTGAGCAAGTACACCACACGAGGTTTGAACCTGTGGGCCAACTCCTCCACCATGTGCTTGTGAGGGGCTGACCAATTGATGGGCTCCGGCGCTCCAACCTCAGCTCCAGACGACGACCCAGCCGCCGCATCAGAACCTGACTTGCGCCTTCCCCTGGACTGGTCAGACACCCTGGCCGCTCCCAACAACTTGGCCTTCGTCTCGATGCCCAGGCAGGCGGGTGATGAGGGACTCGGCATCCAATGGGTTCTTCGACACTCCGTAAACACTGTCGCCTGCTGTTGAGCCTTGGTGATGGAGATTCTTCCTGGACCCGACGATTTCGGCAAGAGGTGTGTCATTGGAGCTGACAACGTGGATCGTCTCGAGCTGCTGGAGGTGGAACACCTGAGACACTGACTGCTGGCAACTGGACACTGACAACGAGCGCACAGACTCACAGACTTAAAGCCCTTGACATGCGGCAACAAAAGGCCAAGAAACAGCTGCCTTTCTAATTAGAAAAACACAACGGCAAATCCATGTCATTGTCTGACTGGGCCTACATTTGTGAGATCTGGCCACAGGCGCAACAGCGACACACCACCAACTTCAACACAAGACCTTACTTGCAAATGATTTGCACATGCACCTGTCAAGCCAGAAGCTGACACTATTATTGTTATTTGTGTGGCATGGGCCAACGACGACTTCAAACACTCAAGCAAGCGGCGGAGCGGTCCCGGGCGCCACCGCTCACAGCGCGGGCCTCGCGCTCCAAAGGCTGAGGCGGGCTTTGAATCAGTTCACTTGTCAAGACGGGAATGCAAGCATTGCAGACAGCATTGATGCACACGGACAGATCACAAGGAGAACACAGGCTGCCTTGCGGTGCTCCGTGACGGTCTCTTCGCTGTAGATTAAGTTCACCCGCCTTTGGGCCACATTCCCAGCAGTCTTGGTGAAAATGCTCGCGAAGTTGGTCCCACGCGTGGACCGCCCGCCATCAGTGAAGATATAGACATCACAAGTTTGCGGGCGCAGCACCGGGGCCTCATCTCCATCCCAGTCGGGCGCCTCAGGCTCCCTGATCGACATGGCAGCCATTATCGTCTTCTCGAGCTGTTCCCTCCTCAGCGGAGTCAGCGACCTCCTTGGGTCTGAGCTCTGTTCGCCGCTGCTTTCGTTGTCATACCAGAACAGCACAGTGCCAGCTTTGGGGCTGCCGCGCACCTTGGACACCTCCAGGGCACGGAGGGCAAGGGCGAGCTGCTGGCATGACACTGACCCATCGACAGTTGACAAGAGAGATGACACCAGTGTCTTCGAATCGTCGACGGCATCCCGCACCTGCAACGCATCATCGTCCTTCATTTCTTTGACAGTGACCTTGGCCTCGCTGACGACAAAGGAGACAAACGAATCGAGCTGCTCATCAGCCGACACCAAAAGACTGTCATTGCCCATGGGCACGGCGTCATTTTTCTCGGAGCCGGACACCTTCGACCATAGTGGCGCAACATCAGTGTGCTCGAGGAACTCCTGAAGACCGGCCCCCCACCGCACTGATCCCTTCAGCACGCCGTCCCACTTCGCCGTGTAGGCTACGTCAGCAGCGAACTTCGCAGCAAGCTGCCCGACCGCACTCAGGGCACCAAGCCAGGACAGGTTCTGGACGGGTTTGGTCGCTCCCTCCAACCTCTGGGTCAGAGTGGCCCGGTTGAAAGGCCACCCGCCAAAGTGCTCCCGGTAGGAGGTGTGGCTGGCGAGGGCACGCCTGGCAATGGTCTAATTCTTGAGTGATGAAAACAGGGCGGGGGCCCTTTGGGACATTGTTGGGACACTTTGTCGGACTTGCAACAATCGACAGGAAACTGAGAAGAGGCAGGACAATGGCGGGCAATCATTGGGGACAACCTCAGCTGCTACTACAACGCTTACTGGCCTGATAATGGCAACGTCCTCCTGATCCACGTGCATCTCAATCTTTGCCAGCAACAGCGACAAATTCTCCCGCTTCCACAGCCAAACATGGTACAGCCTGAGATGAACTATCACACGCAGCCTGACACACATTACAAGTTCAACGTTGACATTGATTGACACCGGCCGGCCGGGGGTTGAACATATTTTTCCAGGCAGCCCCTTCGGATTCGACTTGCCTCCGCTCAGGGCTGTGCTGTTCATTTCTGCGACTTTGCAGACCCCGTTCAGCACATAATCGCACAAGGACGTGAAAAGCCAGCTGATGCTTTCCACATCACTGCGAGCGATTTTGATGAGGTCCTCTAGCTTGGCGACGGAATCTATCGGAGTCCTCTTCCCGAAAAGCTCATCGGCTGGGAAGGCCATCTCCTGCCAGACAAGTTGAGGACACCGCAAACACTGGCTGATGTGGCGGTGGCTGACAATGACTGGATATTGACACACCCGACAATGACAATGAAAATACTTGACAATTGACAGACCTGCAACGGAAAAGCGGTGTCCTTGAGCACATTGCTGGCGAAGAATTTGTTGAAGATGGACGCTGCGCTGGTGAGGTAGTTCAGGGTAATCTTCTCTCCAGCAGCGACAGTGAGCTTGCTGAAGTCACGGAAAAGCTGCTCCACCCCGATCTTCTTGCCCTTGTTATGCCGCTCCAGCATGGCGCGGTACGTCCCGACTTGGAAGAGCCGCTGAACCTTGGTTCGGATGGCGGCTGAGGCCAACATAGTTCCCACAACAAACGGCCATGATGACGGATAGATTTTGACAGTGTGCGGGCCACTGGGACACTGACAGACTGACCTAAGGGCTCATTACTTCGCTGGGGCAGCGACTACAGAGTAGTAGGTGCCCTCGAAGTCAATACCCACCTCTTCTTGAATCTGGGCTGACTGCCAGAAGGCGTCAATCTCGGACTCGGAGGGGCTGGCCTGGTAGGTGATGATGCTGCTAAGCCATGCCTTGACCCAGTCCTGGCAGGCACTAACACATCACTACCGCAGTCAGAAAAACATCGTCTGATGAAAATTACTACAACGACGACTGACACAGACTCAGACTCAGACAAGGATGACTTAGTTCAAAAATGGGATAGAGTCAGCCAAGCCAAGCGCATTTCATCTTTAAACAGATGTGCATGGAGTTGGACCGTGTCAACACAGTCTGTCCTGAACCAGCCTGCCATCCTTGACATCGCGGTAAGTTGCCAGAATCCACGCGTGGTGAAGCTCCTCCTGACTGATCCTTCTCAAAAGGGACCCCGCCCGGTGTGTGACGTTGCATGGGTTGCTCAAGCTGTCACTCACGACGACAGTGACCTTCAGGGGCATAGGCTCCCTGAACTTGGCGTCCCGCAGAAACTTCACCCCGCTTTCCAAAATCGGCACTTGGTTGACCGTCCAGTGCCAATTCACCCAGGCCGCATTTCCACCCCCTGTGACACTCCAGCTGCCCGGGCACTGTTGCAGCCGGTTCTTGATGACCAGCAAGTCTACTGGAACGGCAGACCCACCTTCTGCCAGACTGAGTGGCTCCCGGGAGGAGATGTTCTGGAATTCATCCAGCCTTACTGACTCCCACGATGTGAAACACAAACACAAGCTGGCTGAGGCTATGGCGACATGATGAAGTAAGAAAACACGCCCCATGTGCTCAAGGTTGAGCGACTTGAACTGCGGCACGGAGGCATTCTTGTCCTTGGTGGACGGCTGGCCTGCCAGCGCATGTCGGGCGATTGATCAAGCCTTTTTAGGCTAGCCACCCAGCCTGCAGCAGCGGGCTTGGCCCCAGGGTTCGTTTTGGGCGCCATGACAATGCTGGAGCGACAATGACTACTACGACTCCGCTGAATGAGCCACACGACACTGGCATCACACACCACTACGATCACTATGTGTTGAAGCCAGGTGTGGCAATATCAACAATGACAAATAATAGCAGGCAAGCCTCCCTTTACTGGCGCGAAATGCAATCTTCGGTGATCTAACTTTAATTCAACGGCTGGTGGTGAATTGCAAACCACAACCGCTCAGCAGCAACTTCTCACAACATGGCTAAATTGCCAGTGTCACTTCTCAACAATCAGGCCGCTGGCCAGCAGGGCGCTCTTCACGGCTTGGCACAGAACGGGGACTGACATGCTGTTGCCGAGCATCCCACCCAGCTGAGCCTCAGACACCGTTCCTGTGGCGCCCGTCGATTCGGAGAGGTGAAAGCCCTGAAGCGCCACCATGTCCTCGACGCAGATCATGCGGTGCGCCTGTTTGAGTAGCCGCACATGTCACCGAGACCAAACAAGGGCCATGACACACTCAGATCCACTGAAAGGCGCAACACGAACGACAGGCAGCGCCTTGGTGAACCAGAAGCCCTTCGTCTTGCCTCTTGCCCGTGTGAGTGTGGGCAAGCAGTTGGTAGACACCTTCTGGAACTTAACGCCAGCAGCAATGTCGACACAGCACTCCTGCTTCGTCGGGTCAACACCATCCTTCCGCAGCTTCCTCAAGGCAGCCTTGATGTTGCGGCGGGCACCTGGGGCGTCCGGCAGAGTCTCCTTGGGCTTCTTGGCCAAGACACTCTCGAGGTTGACATTGACAGCCTTGGGGCGCTTGACATGCGGCAATAATGTAGCAGCGGTGGCGGCGCTGAGGCAATCCGAAGTCCCGGCTGTCCAAGACAAAGGCCTTCGCCTGATACTTCAGCTTCTTAAAGGTCGTCATGATGAACTTGAAAGTAGCACGGTACTTCTCGTGCTTGGCCAGCGCCGCCACGTTCTCTAACACCACTGCACGTGGGCGGCGAGCCGTCACATAATCCATCACTTGCTGGGAAAGATCCCGTGGGTCGGAACTGCCTTTCCGCTTCCCAGCCGTACCTTATTATAGCACAGCGGGGCCCAGCCGGAAAGCAATCCAGCGACGACAATCATCCATAACGACGGCTGCTGGCCTGTTATTGGCCGTGCCTGATCTCCTGGCTCCTGCTGGCTGGGTGGGTGGCTGGCTGGCATTTTGTGTTTCCTCGTCAGTCCAATTGCCAAATTGTCTTGTTGACTGACTGTGCGGGCTGCTGACTCACTGACTGACTGACTGACTGACTGGCAGGCTGGCTGGTTGAGTGACTGGCTGACTTACTGACTGCCTGCCTGCCTGATTCTAACTAGCTGAATTTATCAACGAATGAAAATCGAACGAATGAATAAATATGAATGAATCAATTAATGAAAGAATGAAAGCAATAATAATGAAATAAATGCATAAATAAACAAAATTAAATAAATAAGAAAAAAATAAACAAGAAAAATAATGAAATTAATAAATGAAATGAAATGAAATGAAATGAAATGAAATGAAATGAAATGAAATGAAATGAAATGAAATGAAATGAAATGAAATGAAAAATGAAATGAAATTGATGAATGAATGAAATGAAATTAATGAATGAAAGAAATGAACGAATGAATGAATGAATGAATGAATGAAATGAATGAATGAATGAATGAATGAATGAATGAATGAATGAATGAATGAATGAATGAATGAATGAATGAATGAATGAATGAATGAGCGAATGAGTGAATGAGTGAATGAATGAATGAATGAATGAATGAGTGAATGGATGAATGAATGAATGAACGAATGAATGAGTTTATGATTTCATGGATGGATGGATGAATGAATGAAATGGATGAATGGATGAATGGATGAATGAATGAATGAATGAATAAATTAAATGGATGGATGGATGGATGAATGAATGATTGATTGAACAAACACATGAATGAATGAACGAATGACGAACGAACAAACGAAATGAATGAAATGATATGAACTGAAATGACATCAAATGAATGAATGAATGAATGAATGAATGAATGAATGAATGAATGAATGAATGAATGAATGAATGAATGAATGACTGAATGAATGATTGCATGAATGAATGAATGAATGAACGATTGAGTGAATGAGTGAATGAGTGAATGAATGAATGAATGAGTGAATGAATGAATGAATGAGTGAATGAACGAGTGAACGAATGAATGAATGAACGAATGAATGAGTTAATGATTTCATGGACGGATGAATGAATGAATGAATGAATGAGTGAGTGAACGAATGAATGAATGAATGAATGAATGAATGAATGAATGAATGAATGAATGAATGACGGAATGAATGAATGAATGAATGAATGAATGAATGAGTGAATGAATGAATGAATGAATGCATGAATGAATGAAATGAATGAATGACTGAATGAAATAAATGAATGAATGAATGAATGAGTGAGTGAATGAATGAATGAATGAATGAATGAATGCATGAACGAAGGAATGAGTGAACCAACGAATGAGCGAATGAACGAACGAACAAACAAATGAAAGAAAGAAAGAAAGAAAGAAAGAAAGAAAGAAAGAAAGAAAGAAAGAAAGAAAAGAAAGAAAGAAAGAAATAAAGAAAGAAAACAAGAAAGACAGAACAATAAAGAAATACATAAAGACAAAATAAAGAAATCATCAACGAGTGAACGAACGAAATGAATGAATGAATGAATGAATGAATGAATGAATGAATGAATGAATGAATGAATGAATGAATGAATGAATGAATGAATGAATGAATGGATGGATGGATGGATGGATGGATGGATGAATGAATGAACGAACGAAGGAATGAATGAATCAAGGAATGAACGAATGAACGAACGAATGAATGACAATGGATGGATGAATGGATGAAAGGGTGAATTCATGAGAAAACAAATCAATGAGTTTAATGATTGAACGATTGAATGTGTGATTCAACGAATGAGTGAAACACTTTAATGGATGAGTGGCCTAGCTAACCGACCCGCCGGCTGAATGACAACTGGCAATTGAAATTGACAACTCGCAGGCACTCACGCGCTCACACTCCCACTCTAACTCTCAAAACCGCTCTGCCTCTCCCTCTCACTTTCACTCTTCACTCTCTCACTCACTCTCACTCACACTCTCTCTCACTCTCTCTCTCTCTCTCTCACTCTCTGTGTCTCTCTCTCTCTCACTCTCTCACTCTGTCACACTCGCACTCACACTTACACCACTCACACTCACGCTCACTCGTCCTCGGCTAAGCCGATTATAGGTTAATGAAATTTTAAACTGCTCCAGTGGATTGCCAAACCGATGGCTGACAGGCTGCGTCTGAAGGTGCAGCCTCGGCGCTGTACGGCTGACATGGGAAGGCTGCCTGAACAGCTTTTTGGGACGATGACGGCTGTGTTTCAGAACTTGGCGACAATGACGGCTGACGTCTGAGCAGAAGATGTTCTTGAACACCAACTTCAGCCTGACTGTGGCAGGCTCTTGCCGCAGATGGGTGAGCCACACAAGCTGCACAGAACTGACACGACTTTCAAATCAAGTTTTCAAGGCCATTGCAATTACCAGAAGCTACCAAGGCCCTGGCCTGGCACAAGAAATGGCATCAGTGCCTAGGCCGGTGCAGTCCGACCCGATCCGGATGACCTTCTTCAACTGCTTCAAGGGCATGGCCTGGGCGTGCGGGCAAAAGAACCGACAATGACATGACAAAGACCAGGGCAAAACAATTGTGGCTTTTTTCCGCAGCAGCCACACGATTCAAAATGCCCGACCAGGCTGCATGTGTTTGAGAATGCCAGCCGTCATTTCAGAAATTCATTGTCAATCGTCAGTGTCAATCAACATCCTTTGGATCGCCTTGCTCGGCCAGATTGTCCGTGTTTTTGTCGCCGGTGAGCCGGGCGCGCTTCTGGACAGACCCGCGCCAGTTGCATGCTCGACACCCGCGGAAGTAGCATTTGGAGCACCCAGTCGTGGCAGGGTCTCCCATCGATGGCTTCTTGGCCGCGGGCTTCTTCATGATTGCGGGGGGCTCCGCATTGTTGTCCTCCATGTCGGGTTTGCTGACAGTGGCGACAGGCATGGCTTTCTTTTTGATGGCCCTCGTCGGCTTCTCTGTTTGCTTCTTGGCCGGCTTCTTGTTTGACATTGACGAATTGGCCACCTTTTTTGCAGGGCTGTGGGCATGCCCTGCGTCTACCTTTGAAGCGGGCCGCTTCATCACTATGTCCTCCTCAGACTGGCACTCGCCGCTGTTGGACTCCGACGCACCGACAGACTTCTGGGTCAAGGGCACCTCTGTGGGTGGCTGTGGCCAGCCAAAGTCATCAGCATCCCGGCCAGACACGAAGCCGGACATGACCGGCGGCGGAGGACTATTTAAGACACTGGCTGATTGACAATGACCACTCCTGCAAGCCAAAAACAGCAACGGGTGTTAAAGGCAACGTCCCATCAACCACTCGACAATGTTTCAACCTGCACTGCATCAAAGGCATTTGGGGGCGGCGCCGGGCAGTGCTGGGTCCACGCGAGGAGGCTGACAATGACACAAGTTAAGGGCCAAAAAGCTTCGGTGACGCCAATGGAATGCATATCCTTAAGAAGCATTTTCACAACTTTCCGTCCCGGCTGAACACCGTGGGACTCGCTAAGGGGGGGCCGTGGCGGCCCCCCCCTTACGGAATGGACCTGTTATTTGAAGCGCTCCTTAAGGATATGCGGGCCAAATTGTTCCCCTTACGGAATCGGGGGCGCCCCGGACTCGCTAAGGGGGGGGTGCCCCCTTACGGGATCGGGGGCGCCCCGGACTCGCTAAGGGGGGGGGCGGAGGGGGCCCCACCACGCCATTTACTACTTTTTCTTCCAGTCTGCAGCTCCCCCGCTGGCCGACAAGTAATTAAAAGGTCTGGCCCTTCAAGTCAAAAGTCATTGTCAGTCGCCATTGTCAATTGTCAATGTCGAACTGACCTACCGAGCCTGACGGCAGTATTTCACTTACAATTGAAACTGACTTGACTGACTTAGTATTGGAAACTGACAGGTTGGGCGACGAGGTTCCAATTGATTTGAAAAGCACCAGTCTTTAATAATACAAGGACGAGAGTGATGACAGACTTCCGGCAGGCTCAGGGCACCTACTATTATTGAACTACAAGGATGCCTGGTTCAGGTTGCTGGCCGCAACACGCCGGACCAAAGGCCAGCTCATAAAGCTACGGCTGTCATGCGTGACAGTGTGCTTGCCGGGGTACTTTTTCTCTGACACTGCCGCCAGCACGACAGTGTGCGACGTGTTCCCAGTGACCTGCTTCACATCCTGGCAGCTGTTTCAAGTTCACCAAGTGGCAAATAGGACAAAGGCTGGTGTGGCAACCCGGCAAAATGCAGCCCAGCAGCACGGCATACCCAGCCACCAGCGCGGCCGTGAGTGATGAGAGAGTGGCGGGCGATCTCAGCCAGGGCCGGGTGCGCTTTGTCAAACTGAGGGGACCAGGTACCTCTTGGTCGAGATGCTGGCCGCACCGCTATACCTTAGCTCAAGAAAAATTGACACTGACAAATTAAATTACAATGACAAGTATCATTTGACAGGGACGGCGACATGCTCAGGAAAATGTAAAAACTGGTTGCAAGTTCAAGTCGGGGGTTGGCTGGCTGGTGC